AAAAAAAAAAAAAAAAAAAAAAAAAAAAAAAAGTACACACATGCATGCACAAATAGACTAACATATACTAAAACATTAATGGTAATTATCCTCAGGAGACTGGGGATCATGGACTATTTTAAATTTGTTTAAACTTACCTGTGTGAGTATTTTCCAAGTTTCATACATATATTACTTTTGTTATCAGAAAATAGTTATTTTAGAGAATATAAATGAGGTTATAAAGAACAGGAGGGCCATGTGCTTCCTTTACTTCAAAAGCATACCACTAGAATTGGAATATATGAATATACATGTTACACAATGATAAGAGTTAAAAACTAACTTTTTAAAGCTGTGGAATCTAGAAATAATAATGTTTCTCAAGATTGGTTGGATATTTTGTTCTTTCCTCAAAATGTGAGCTTTCTATGTATTGACTGTAAGAAAATAATTCCTTTTTACTACAACCCAAGGCAGTTTTGCAATCTTCAGCGGCATTATTACCATGTGGCTTCTGTCTGGTTTTGAATTAGTTCAGTGGCCATCAGACTTTGTGATTGTATAGACTATCAGTAAAAAATTTTTAAACATGCACCCACTGCATGATTTATTTATAAATAATACATCTGCACAACTATATTAAAATATCAAATATATTCGAAAACATGCATGAAAATACAAATTTTAAATAATGAGATAAAATAAACAGGAGCTCTAGTATTTTCTTCTTATAACCCTGTGGGGGCTGGCTGTTTAGCTAGGCTGGTTAGAGCACAGCCTTATAGCACCAAGATCGTGGGTTTGGATCCCCATACTGGCCAGCCACCAAAACAAACAAACAAACAACAAAAAACGAAACCCGTGGGTTGTCTTGTATGCATTCTACTTGGGACACCACCGGACTGGACAACCACAGAAGATGGGCTTTGGCCAAAAAAGACCCACCAAATGTGAATCTGTTACAATGAGAAACTGAAATAGGGTATTCATCTAGCACTAGTTCTTTAATTTACCCACAGGTCAAAGGTCATCCAGCTAATGGTGGTGGTGGTGGTGGTGGTGGTAATGGTGTGTTTACACAAGAAATATCCTCCAAGTTCACACTGTAGCTTACCTTGCTGCTGTAATTTGTAATCAGTGGAATATGCCTTCCCAATGATATTCCACACAGGCCTTAAGCATCCAAATAGTCCTTCAAGAAACCCACCACTACCACTGCCCGACCTGCTGAACTGAATCTTGATGTCTTCAGTTCCACTTGTGCTCTCTCCGTCCACGGTGTTGCTGTTTCCCTGAGACACAGTCATCTCTGCTTCATCTTGCTCCCTTAGCTGAAGAACGCTGTTCTCAAACTGGTCCCTAGAATCCTCACTTATGCTTGTCAACACTGTTGTGGTGATGGGGCTGTTCATGCTCTCTATCAGCTCGGTGTGCACCACCTCCTTTTCCTTCTGGTCTTCAAGGAGCTTGGGTAAAGGGTGGTTCCCCATAGCTGCGAGGCCATCTTCTAGTCCACTGAAGGTTTTGTTTTCACTCAAGAGTAAGTGTGGAGAAGAGGAGCAGCTCAGGTGCTCCTGAGGGTTGGCCATCGTGCCATGAGTGTGACCAAGGTTCTGAGATAACACTCAGAGGATTATTAGCACAGAGTTCTGATGCAAGAGAGGGCTCCAAAACCTGGGAAAAACAGGAGGAGGACATGAGATGACCCTTTCTTTAGTATTTGCACTACTACACTTCTGTTTATATAAATAAAAGCATTCAAACAATGGGGATTGGTTAAACTGTGGTTTACTCCACGTGAGAGAATACTGCACAGCAATGAGAAATTATCATGTAGAAGAATATTTACTAACATGAAAAATGTTCATGACATAATAATATAAAAAATGTTAGAACAATACACATAACATTAACTTAAAAAATTCAAGAAGATACACAAATACACATGTAAGGAAAAAGACAAGAAGGATATATCCAAAGAATTAATAGTTAATTTTAGGTGATTCGATTTGGGAGAGGTTTATATTGTTATGATTTTCAAAGTATTCCAAGCATTCTATATTAATATCTATTATCTTTTAAACCATACATTTCTGCAAGGGAAGTTAAGTTGTTCTGATGTACATATTTTTATTAGAAACTATATTTGTGTTATATAAATTGCTACTCATCTTTTCTCTTTGCTTTAGTGTCTTATCCACTGGGCCATTGCTTCACTTTCTAAGGCATTTATTAAATCATGTAGATAAATGTCTTGTGTATGTGACAAGATAAATTCCTGAGATATAAAATTTGTTTTTATTGTATTGCACCAAATCTGGGGCAACACAATTTAGCCCCAAATCTTTAAACTTGTTCTTTACTTCTGATCTGTCTGTTAGCATTATTTTCTTGGAGCCACCTAACCTCTGAAAACAAAGATTTGTTCTAGATTGTTCATATCATGCAAAGTCCATCTTAAATCTATTCCAACTACACTCTTATCAGAAATTTACTTTCTTTGCAAGTCCCTACATGATAGTCTTTCCTTCCTTCATGCTGTATTAGGATTCTAGAATGTGCTAGAGGCAAGGGTATAAAGATGACCTCAAAAGACAAAAGACAGACTAACAAAGATTGACACTACAGTGCTTATGATGAATTAAGTAAGTGCTCTGAGAGCACAGAAGAGAAAGGGATAATTTCAGGGATAGATGCTCAAAGGTGGTGACTTTTGATTCACTTGAAGGAAGTATAGATTCATCAGGCAAGTAAGAAAGGCATGAGTGAAAGAAGAGGAAGAAGGTATTTTAGGTGTGGGGAAAGCATGAACAAGGGCATGGAGGGATGAAAGACTATGGAATAGAAGAGAAATCCAAAGTCTCTGGAATGTAGGTTTTATGTACGTACATTGAGAAAGATACAAATGGACAGACAGGGGCTAGATTGTAAGGAGCTCTGGATACTAGGCTAAGAGGTTTGGATTTTATCTTGAAGGTGATGGGCAGTCAAGGTATCCTATATTGGGGATTAAGAGTAAAAATAGACCTTCCTTGTTTTATTTTCTCATCTTCATTACAGAGATACAAATTTTAAGCCTTTTTTTCATTGACATATCCTATGAATAGCTTGTGTTAGTGAACCAATGAGAATAGCCTATCCTCTGCACTCTCATTCATCCATTCAAACATTTATTGAGCTCCTATTACTTGCTACATAATGTGTTAGGCATTAATGAATAGTATGTAAGTTCCTGACCTTTAGGAACTTAAGGTCTAGAGGGAGAAACCAATAGATAACAGCCACATGGTTAGATATACGGAAGCTCAGAAAAAAAAAAAAACATCAAATATGTCTAGAGATGTCAAAGAAGAAGCTTTGCTTGTGTTGAATCTTGAAGGGTGAATAAGGGGTCACTAGGAAAGAAAGACTAGACATTCCACATAGTTTTGGAGAGCAGCAGGAGATAACTCTTAGAAAAGGTAGGCAAAGATCAGCTTATGGTGGACCTGTATGACAAGCTAAACCTTTTGTATTTTATGCTCAAGACAACAGAGATCCATTAAGGAATTTTAAGCAAAGGACTGATTTGGTCAGATTTGTAAATTAAAATCACATTTATAGAAGTAGAGGTTGGCTTGGAAGGGAAAGACTGAAGGTCCATTTAGGAAGTAGAGTTCAAGTAAGAAATGACTAGTTAAAAAGAAGCAACCCAGGAATCAAGATGGCGATGGGTCAGGAGTGGGGGCGCCAGAAGACGGCGTGAGCCTGAGAGGTGTGCGCTGTGCTGCCAGAGTGCTACTTGCATTTACAAGAGCAACAAAAAATGAATAAGTCTTTGATCAACTAGTCTACGACTATAAAAAAGCAACTACAGACTCAAGGTTTAGGGCCGGCATAAAAGAGGATTCCTGGGAGAGCCCAAGATGCACTGCGGGACCGAGCGAGCAGCCCGAGGCAGCAGTGGCTGAGCACTGAGACAGCAACAACACGGAAATGGAGAGGGAGCCGCTTGGCAGGCTCAGCTCTGTGAGTGACCCCCAGCCCGGCCCTGCTTGCGGGGCAGATGCCCGTCTGGCTTCCACCTACCCTACTGGGCCAGTCACTGGCCCGGGGCTGCCTCCATTTTCTCAGGTGGGGGAGGAGCAGGCCGGCTTGGCCAGGCCTGCCCTCCTCACCCGGCTCAGCTCCTTACTGAGCCTGCCCACTTTCTTGTCCCGGCACGGGGCCTCCCAGGGCCTGCGGGCCGGCCTCACATTCCATTCCCCCCGCGGTTCTCTGGTGGGGCTAGTGGCGGGGGGAGAACCGGCCAGTGTCGAGAGGTCAGGGAAGAGCGGGACGGGCAGATTATCACTCCACCGCACCCTGGGCTCCACCCCCAGTAAACTTCCTGTTACAGGGAGGCAGATACCATCTCTGCGGCCATCAGTTCGGAAAAACGCCTAACTGATTTCTGATTAGGAAAAGTGTGATCGGAGTGCTCCCGAGCTCGCTTGAACCTGCTGGAGAGCTGACTGCAGGCGGGCGCCGGAGTCAGTCCGGAGGAACTGTGTGCTGCGGGCTCCTCCCCTGAGGAGCTCATGCTCCGGTGTGGGAGATAAGACAAGCACACGGATAACTGCAATAACAGGAGGAAGGTGATTAGTCCCGAGAAAGCCCTATACAGTGCTGCAAAGCCACCCAGAGCAACCGGTCGTCTACGACTAGCAGAAACCTGAAAGACCTCCTGGGCAGGGCAGTGCCGAGCAGGGGCTTGAAGGCCTAGCTGATAGACGAGGGTTGCAGAAGACATGCCCTAGCCTAGTCAAGAGCGCACAGAGCAGGGAGGTGGCTGGTTAGGGAGGTGGAGACTCAGCAGAAAACACACACCCTGCGGGCCGCCTCTGCGAGGTCCAACAGCCCCACCTAGTATGCACAGAGCGGGGAGACATCCGGCTAGGGAGGCGGAGACTTGGCAGAAAACACACACCCTGTGGGGCCGCCAGGGCATGATCCAGCA